CAACTGTGGTAACCCACAGGGTAGTGTAAGTGAATTATTCACTGATACTATTGTGAGAAGAGTGGCGAAAAATAGTTCGTCTTGTCAATTTGGATTCTAAGGGAATTGAAATAGGCTAAGTGAGCTTTTGACAAGAAAAAAGAGAACTATTTAGAATTTGCGGTACAACTGTGATATACCTAGTGTAAGGAATTTTTGTACATATGTTCAACTTGTTTTGAATATATTATTTTAAAACAAGTGGAGAGTGTGCTGTCCGTTTATTGTCGAATTTATCACTAACAAGTCACAGACACCTACTGTAGAATAATCCTCAGCCCGTACATATACATGAAACCCTGATAGGAGGTAATATGCTAAATCTAATTAGACGAAGGATGAGCAAATTAATAAACAAAGATCAGGGTGAACATTGGATCCTGGAGTTACATGGGGCATGGGAAGAACATCTTGGCTACCAGGAGTCTAGTTAATATTAAATGAAGTTAGAAACAAACTATTCTTAACTTAATTAGACTGAATTACAAAGAGAAAAAATACACTATTAAGTTTATGAATAAAGAAAGTTAGAGATAACAGGTAGCCAAAATGAAATAATAATAATAACAAAATGTTATCTGAATCGTCACCATTTACGACCATTTCACTGTCTCAATGACTGTTCTCTCCCGTAAAAATTTAGCTTCACACTTTCGTCTATAGTAACCCTATACCTACTTTCACAGCTGTACACTTCTATCTTCTATAACCAGTCTATCGATCAACACAGGGCAAATTATCAGCTTTCTCCAATGTAGTCACAATCAAAGATCGTTACTTCGATTTTAAAGCTGTCTCTTGTATAAATGAAGCGACCTAGTGACAAGGTTTGAAGCTTTTAGAAATAAAAATAATTGTAACTGCAGTTTCGCCATAAATGTTAGATTCATATTACTGGTTACAACTAAGATCTTTAGATCATCAAATTTGTTTTGCATTACGTTCATAGCTTTCTCAACAATACTTTGCACAATGTTATTGTTCACACACAATGTCATCTTGTTGTGCAATCCTATAGAAAAAACAAATAAATCCAACTTTTAAGTTATTGGTCATAGTTATGGTTCTGCAAGATTTAATTTTTATGTTATGTTATTGATCAGGCTCTGAAGTTTTTATTAAGTTCTCCCGATGATCTTCCGAGTTCTTAACAATGTTCTCTTTATTTTCTGTCATTATTTTCTAGCTCAGTTTCTCTCTGAATTCCCAAAGTTGTAGCAATTATTAATAGTAAAACCACTCGTAACATCTAATAATTATGTAGTGGAATTGCACTTGCACTCTCTTAGGAGTAATATAACTGGAGTACCTACTGAGAAAAAACCCAAGTTATTGAATCCTAGAAATTCAAACCTTGTAAGTCCCATTGTTTAGAAAAACAACATACTGAAGTTTCACCTAACGAAAACATTTTACCTGTGGCTACTTTCATTCTCATTCTTGTAATGAATTCAGTATTACTAGAGAATAAATTTATCTCATATTCTTTACAAAACCTAAAACTTTTAAATATCTTATTGTATTATACTAACCTAACTACTATGCCCCACAGTGGCTCAGCGGTAAGACCAAAGGCTTATAACGCTAAATACCTGGTTTCGATATCCTTGGTGAGCACAGCACAGAGAGCCAATTGGGTAGCTTTGTGATTAATAATAAACCAAATAACTAAATAATTAATTACTCAAGTAGTGCTCCTGTGAGGGCAGTGACAGTATTTTTATATAAATCAGACTAAGTGAGAAAAAAAGGCGACTTTCTAGACAATATTGTCAACCTCATTTGTATAAAAGATACGTCGTTGGGGCTTTTACGGATGTAATCTAAAGACACTAAAGAGAATCTCTCTATATATTTATTATTTTCTGTGAACTAGTTTTATATACTAGGTCACTCATGATGAATGTTGCAGCAGAAACAAGGCACTTGTCCTTTTTAGACATTAGACTTTCAATAAACAGTTGCTAGTCTTTTCACAAATTCATTATGCTCTCCATACTGCTTTTGTAACCATAATTTAAACATAATTGAGCACACAAAAGGTTACTAACACTTTATAAGAACAGTTCATATATGCTAAAGGAGGAGCTTATTATCATGGAAAGACTGGAGCTCACATATCAGTGCATTTCTTTTGTCACAAATTGACGAGTATCTGGATGCACTGCATTATGTCTGTTGGTTCAATACACTAGATTTGGTTTTATTTTATTACAAAATCAAATTGGATGATGAAAGTATACCTAAGCTTGTTTTAGCACTCATGAAGTTCTGTATGAATTCTAAATAATGTCATTCAAGTTGTATGATACAGCTGTCACACTTAGAAGACTACAATGGAAGAGATTCCTAATCTATGAAGCTGAATTTCAGTTCCATGTTTCAGGTTGCTACTGAGAACCTGAACATGGTGTTTAGGTTTATCAAAGAAACATCCTTGAAATTTAAAGTTTCTTGATCACATAGTAAGAAGGTACAGAGTTTCCACTGATTTTTTCAAAGATCACAGTGGTCAAGGACTGGCCTCAGCTTGAGATCAAATGAGAAATCCACAGCCTTCTGGAGTTTATTCTATATTTTTATGGTTTATGGTCAATTTCTTAGATTAGTATATATATATATATATATATATATATTACTAGGAAGTAAGTTCGCGACAGTATGCATTTTGTATGGACAGATCAATGTGAGCAAGTAGAACCGTCCCTACAGTGTGGTTTGTTTGAGACACCTATGTTGACTTATCCTTAAAAGGACTGTCCAACCATCTTGAATGAATGCTGATACCAGTAAGAGTGGCATTGGAGTATTACTGTCTAAATAAATAATAGCAATGAGCATGCAAATGAACATTTGAACCACATACTATAGTTTTCTCAATGCCATTACTGTACAACAAAGAAGAAACTTCTTCTAATAGTATTATTTGTTAACCATTACTTGTGTTGTTGTAGGAAGTTTACTATTTAAATAGACCATACATCATTAAAACAACTGATGAACTTCAATGTACCACAATATCATGAATATTTCTGATTTGGTATTTTCGACCATTTTTACAGGTGTTCTAGCTTACCATCTGATCACAGAGGCTTCGTAAGATCTTGGGTATTCTTTAAATACTCACTATCTATTCACTGGTAAAGATAACAAAACAAAAAATTCACTATAAAATGCTAAACAACAATAATGTGAAAGCGGATGACCTTGCTGCATAACAGACATTCAGGAAAGCTGACTACAACTGTTGGAAACAACAATTTAAGCAGAGGAACCGGGGGTCAACCACACAGGTCTATACCTGGATGAGGCAAGTTATTCATTTAAGGCTGTCATACACTATATGTTCACACATATTTTAAGCTCCCCTCCACTTGAAATCTATAAACACTACATTTTTGGAGGATTGTAAGGCTGATCCCCATGAATTACCATGTTCAAGTCTCGCATATACCACCCTCAGGTAACATTTGCTTCATCTGTCTGTGGGCTACAACGATCACTAATTTCTATATTACAGTAAATGGTATAAAAAAAGGACACCATAAAAATAAGGAAGTTGGACTTAAACCCACAAACTAATTACTTTCTGAATTTACGAAAAGGCATGACATGGCCAATGGTTAGGGAGCTCTACTCGCAATCTGCGGGCCGTAGGTTTGGATCTCCATCACTAAATATGCTCATCCTTTCAGCCGTGGAAGCATTATAAAGTGAGGATCAATCCCACTGTTCGTTGGTAAAAGAATAGCCCAAGAGTTGGGGGTTGGTGTGTTGACTAGCGCCCTTCCTCTTGTCTATAACTCTAAACTAGCGTAGCTAGCCCTCGAGTAGCTTTATGTGAAATTTAAAACAAACAACTAAACAAATGTACGAAATAACATATGTAAAGCAACTTCTTTCTTTCACACATTCCATAAACGTAAGGGCAAATTCCGTTTTGAATTTTCAACACATTGGTTCAATGGGATGTTTAGTATGGACGCGTCTCATGCAGTTTGGTGAATTTTTGTTTGTTTGGAATTGAGCACAAAGCTACACAATGGGCTATCTGTGCTCTGCCCACCACGGGTATCGAAACCCGGTTTCTAGCGTTATAAGTCCGCAGACATACCGCTCTGCCACTGGGGGGGGGGGCAGTTTGGTAAATTCGTGCTTCAACTATAATTAGTTAATCGGCAGTCTGTTTGCAGGAAACTTTCTCAGAACAATTTCCATTCGACCTATTTAGCAATAAGAAACACATTCGGAGGTTGAAAATATTAAAACATTTTAAAAAACGATGTCGTGCAAACTATATCGCTTAAATTTTTACTCCTGGTGAGTCAGAATTTACGGCCTTACAACACTAATATTCGTGGTTCAATTCCAGCATTGTACAGAGCTACCCATTGTGTAGCTTAGCTATAAACAACAACACCAACTTACAGTTTTATTGTTCTTTGTTACACAATGATAAAAATTCTCATCTCCTTTCAGTAATATGCATTTTTAACGTTATGTGATTTGTTTCTTTGTTTGCTGTTAAGCACAAAGTTACATAATAGGCTATCTGTGCTGTTCCCACCATTGGGGAAGCGGGGGGGGGGACTTATATTCTATTATATTTTATGGTTTGTTTGTTTTTTGAATTTCGCGCAAAGCTACATGGGAGCTATCTGCGCTAGCCGTCCCTAATTTAGGAGTGAAAGACTAGAAAGAAGGCAGCTAGTCGTCACCACCCACCGCCAACTTTTGGGCTACTCTTTTACCAACGAATAGTGGGATTGACCGTCACATTATAAAGCCCCACGGCCGAAATGGCGAGCATGTTTGGTGTGACAGGGATTCAAACCCGCGACCCGCAGGTTGTGAGGCGAGCGCCCTAACCACCTGGCCATGCCGGGCCTATATTTTATGGATGTTTAGAAATTTCACTTTATAAGAGGACGCTGCGGTATTACAAATCAGGTGGCTGTTGACGTCAACAAAACAGATAGAAACTATCTGACAGTGTGTGTGGCTGTGAGAGAATTTGGAGTGAGTTTTCTTCGCTGGTAAGGCGAGGCCTATTACACGTTGAGCATATTGAAGAGAAATACGTTTTAAATATGCAATTTGAGGAGGTCGTTAATCCACATTTTGCTCTTCCAATCGTAGGGGTAATAGTTTGTGCACTTTTAGTGTTTGCATTTGGTTTTAAGTCTCCTGTTCAACCTCCTAGTTTTGATCAAATCATTCAAGAAGAACGGAGGACAGCAAAAAAGAAGAAAAGTAGCCAGAAGGTTTGTTTAGGACGTATTTTTGTATGCCTTTTTTGTTCGTTTGTTTGTTTAATTTTTGATATAACATGTAGTAGTTATACACCTTAAATTCTGTGAATTTTCCCTTCCCTTCTCTTTTTTTTTTGAAAATACATTTTATGAAAGTTGTTAATACAGTGTTACACTTACAGACAAGGAACCATTTACTGATTTAGTCCTTTGAATTTTTCATTCTATTTTTTATTTTTTTGAAAATACATTTCGTGAAAGTTGATTGGAACAAGTAATTCTAGCAATTTATATAACCTTTGGTGGGTTAACAATAGCCCAGAATTCAGTCTCTATGCTTTTATTATATAAATATATTATTACTTTAACACAGTGTTAGAGAGAATGAACCATTTATTGATTTAGTCCTTTGATACACTGTTTCCTGAATAAGAGTAAAAATTTAAGTCACTGGCAAGATTCCATGAAGATCACATGCAAGTTAAGTAGGAACCCCTAAGCCTATAGAGGTTTTAACTTTCACTACCTGTAAGAACTTCACAGAAGGATTCTTCAATAATAAAAACATAGAATCTCAGTAACTTTCTCAAATACGTTATACTGGAGTCTTTTAATATGAAGTTTTAACAAAATATGCAGACATTTGATACACAAGGAGACTTGGAAAAATCTTTTACAGCAAATCTTAAAACATTAATATAAAAAATTTACATATTTAAAACCATTGAAAGAAATTCGTAAGAAACCATACAAGCAAAGCTTAGCAAATTCTAAACATGGAAAATATGTGAACAACTGTTGCTTGTGTTACCTTGAAATAAGGCTTGTCACCTCTGACTCTCAATATGCCTACAAGATGTAATTTGACCACAATCACCTCTCATCTTTTATAGGGTCCCATCCTGGCTTCAAATTTTATATTGAGAAGTTTCTGCACATCCTTTCTTTACATCCAGCCCTTATTACAAAATTAATGAACAAACAATTTCTACAACTATTAATTGTGGATGACTTCTGTGGGATGAGGAATGGTGCACTAATAAAAAGTTACAAAATCAATCTCTCCAGACTAAACTAAATAATACCTGTGATGACCATGAAAGTCAATAAATTATTTCTCTCACTTTTAATAACAGATAAGTTCTTTTAAAAATATTGACCTTTTTATACCTGTATCTTCAATGTATAATTATACATTCACTGATATCATAAAACTTCAGTCTCATACAAGTAGCTAGGAGAAGTATGCAGTTTAGTAGTGCCAATTTCACTAAAAAGGTCCTGAGGTTTATTCCTTTGGGATGAATACAAAAACAAATCATAAAAGAGTATGCTACTTTTGTATTAAAACAATTAGACACTAAAATGGCATATCTTTAAAACTGTTTTAAGTTCTCAAAAAGTACTATGTTTCGGCCTAATATGCATGTGACATTAATTGAATGGCTAATAAGCTGTTTTATTATAAGAATATCTTTACTCTTTTTGATACATATGGTCTAATGGTACAGATACTGTCTGATCTTCCAGCAGGATTCACCACTTTCCATTATGCCTCAGAATCTGCATTGATCAAGTTGTTTAAACTAATAATAGTTTATCACTGCTAACTGAAAATTAACTGTACATAGAAAAGAGCGAACAGCAATCACTCTGGCTAGGATTTCCATGACAGTATATTGATGGCATCCATCCATGAACTCATCCATGGGACTACATTGTAACTTCTGTGAACATATGAAAGCTTTTCTTAAGTATATTTATATTTAGAAAAAAAAATTACTTTTGCTTCTTACATTACTAAAACTATGCTTGCTTGTTTCTTCCAAGGGTCTTTATGGTACATTTAAATATAAATGTTCAATAAAATGTTAAAACTCATACTTACTGTACTTTTATTCCAGCAAAAATCTCAAAGTAATGGACAACCTGGAGCTGTAAATGTGAGAGTTTCACCTCAAGTTTCGAAACAGTCTCCAGAGAAAACCCTACAATCCAAGCAAAAATTTGTGGTTGAAAAAACAGAAACGAAGGTAGATATTATTAATGTAGGTCTCTGCAGTAATCATAGGTCTTGTTTAATAAGCACTAATTCTTTATTTTGTACTTTATTTGTTTCTATAGAATTTTTTTTCAGAACTTGTATTCACTTGGTAGAAGTATTAGATTGAAAATAAAATTAACTTGTATAGTTCTCTAACAGATTCTCAAATAAATGTTGAAAAAAATGTAATTTTTGGTTTTAGTGCTATTAGTGGTATCTGACATAATAAAAAATCTATTTTAAAATCATACAGTAAAATTTGAAGTACACAGAATTTTCATTGTCTTTAATAATAAGCAGGTGATACTACTAAAGTATGCAGGTAATCTTGTTGGTGTGAGGTGAAGCAGAGATGAGGGTGAAGGCCCAATGTTACATTTTTAGACACGTTCATCTTAGAAGGCATGGAGATATTGTCTTACAGAAAAGTTTTAAAATAGACTTTATCAAAAGTACTGTTTTTGCAATTTTTATCCTTTTTTACAGCATTAGTATGAACAGAAATGAAACATGGAAAGATAAATAAACATTTGCACTACAAATATTTTTAACATCTTTTGTATAAATACTATGACTTTGTTCCCTCCTTTACTCTGACAATGACTCTGAAGTAATTGAAACTAACCAGAAACATGAAATAGTTTTTTCTTTTGTGTGTTGCAATTTTTTGACTTAATCAGTAATAGTATGGCCATATTTCATAAAATATGGATGAGCAAATAACGAGCACTAAGCACAAATTGCTGAACATCTGATGGAAATATATAGCATATGGCTTCAAAATATTTTCAAAACAACATTTTTAATCCAAAGAAAGACTCAAAAATGTTGCAATTAAAGTTCCACCAGAATTAGAAACCTGGTAGAAGGATCATATAGAAAACCAAAATAGCAGGGTAGATGAGATAAAAGTACCCAAAGCACCCAGCATTTAATGAAGACCCTGAAAACATTTGATATTTAGCTAGTTATAAAAATATTGAAGTAGCTCACAATTTTGATTATAAGAGCATCTGCAGAATGTATATATACTATCTTGATTAAGATAATAATGCACATGTAAGAAGTTGTTTTCTTTAATTGTTAAAAGTTTTACTATATCAGTGTTGAAGAGAAACAATTTCTTTTCCTATTTTGTGGTACCTGATTTTTTTACTTTTCTATGAAGCTTTTCCCCATTGCTTATTTGCGACTGAAGTTAGAATTTGAAATTAACAGTAACACTAACAAAATATTAAGTTCAAAAATTCCTATAGAAATATAATTATAATTCAGACGTGAAAGACTAAAATTATCTGAACAAATGATACAATTTTTTTTCTAAGGAAAATGTAAACTTGGTATATTATGTGAATGTTTATCCATGACATACGAGTCAACTAGTATACCTATCTTTATTTTTTAATTTTAAATGCACCCAGGTTTTCACAAAATTCTATTCTTTAGCTAAATATATATACACTGAGGCTTTTGTTATATTTTTTAAGCTTTTGATTTTCCTAAAAGGATCATTTGAGTAGATTTGATGCTTTTTGATAAACCAAATTGGGGATTTTTTGTGTATTGAATTTCTTCAAAGCATTGACTTTGTCAGTATGAATTATAAAAAAAATTAAATTATTTATTTTTTGGCACTTAGTGTGTAGAAGATAAGTTTTTAAGCTGAAATTGGTTAACCTTAATGTAACAGATCATTAAAAAATTTCACTATCAGGAGTGTCAATTCATGAAAGGTTTGGAGCAAAGAGGGCTGACTTCACATTGACCCCCCCCCTTCCAATTCAGTCATGGGCCTTCCACTATGATATAATTTACTTATGTGTTAATTTGGCCTGACTACAAATGTTGCACTCAAAACTGTCATTTGGGGCCCCCTCCTGAGTTTGGAGGGGGACAGTTGCTTCTGTCACAATGCCACCCCCCTCCTCACATGACACACATATTCATTATTCTTTTTATATAGACAACCCTCTAACTCTGTTGCAGACTAAAGGATTTGTTTAGTGTATTTGACTTTTTAAAGTTCATTTAATTCTACTTGGTGTCTATTCTAGGTTAAAAAAGGTCAACAAAACAAGGTTACCAAACAGGAAGAACCAGAATCACTTAATACTGATGAATCCATATCACATGATGATGGAGGTTAGTGTAATTTATAGATAGTGGTTTTTCTTGGAACTTAAACTTAATATTAGTTATACATTCATACTAATATTGTCATGCCTCGGTGAAATAGGCCAGCACCGTTAATCATGGACACAAGATGTTTTGCATCTTTCCAACTTCCAGTTCATTTTAAGGATTTTAGCTAATGTTTTCAATCAACATTTTAAAACTAAAGTGAAATTCAAAGAATTGCTTATCTTTATTGAGGTTTTTCATTCTTCCCTAAAGATTATATACATAGGAAAACGTTTAGACATATAAGGTTGAATAGGTACAATGCAGAAGTTAAGTACAGGTAGTACGATGAATGATGATTCACCTAAAAATTCTAATAATAGAAAGTATCAATGCATGATATCTCTTACATAAATTTTCATGGGAATGCTATTTTTCAAGAGATTGCAAGATTAAAAAAAAGAACTTTGTTTGAAAGTAGAATGTGATACAGCTTAATTCTGGGCAAAAAACTAAATAAAAAATTCAAAAGACCAGCTGAGCTAACTGCATTACATGATTATAACTGCCTGGTTCGCATTTAGATAGGATCTAAAGAGCGTTGTAAAGTAATAAAATTAAAAGCAAGCAAATTTAAAAAGTTTAGATAGCTGAGGCTGTTAGGATAAATAATTGTAATTGTCTGTTACATTTTGTTGTCATTCTACAAAGTGAAAAGGTATTGTTGATTTTATTTTGTATTTTTCAATTGTTTTGTTTGATTTCACTACAGTTATTAGAAGGGTAGGTAACATATGAAGTTTTACCAAATAAAACGTGATATTCATTAATGAGGTTCTAAAGGTTATTCAAATGAAAACTAAGATAAAAAGTATTTTTAGCATAAAAATCACCTTTCACCCAGACTCAGTAAAGGCTTTGTAAATTCACAGATAAATCTTTAGTGAAAATACTTTATTAAAAAAAATTGATTTTGTTGTGTTAGTAGAGTTGTTGTATTTACTAAAAGTTAGCAAACTTTTGTGAAGAACCACAGACATAATCATATTGTTTTTATTAGTTTTTGACCTTCTCAGCACTATCATATGTAGATTTTAGGCTCTTCATCTTTAAACTTTTGTGAAGATACACATAGTACATTCAGAGTTATAGTATGCATAGTTTGTTTCAAGTTGGTCACAGGGTTGGTCAAAATGACAAAGCCCATATACAAAATTAGCTTCTACAACCTCAATTTAGGTAAAACTCTGCTGATAATGTATAGTTTCTTTTTTTATTTCCAAGTTGCAATTGCCTTATACTGAACAAGTATTGTTATACATTTTAGTTTCATCATAGATCAATAAGATCATAGATCATTTTTTTAAGTTTTTAATTCTTCCATTTAATATAGCATGAAGAACAATAGAAAAAGATAAGTGTTTGTAGTTTTTAGTAAACACATTGTACATCAATGAAATATATTGGTAATCTGTTTAACCAACCTGCTAATTAGTGTATTTTCTATCATTTGTGAGGCTGTCTTTAATTCAGATTTATTTTAATTGTACTTTTTACGTAGTATATTGTGTTTAGCATTTAAACAAAGGTTTTATGCAATGTTTAACATTGATTCGTATTTGCAGTAAACATGCATATTGTTGCGTCATCGAGATCATGTGACAATTTTCAAGCTCTCTTGTTTCTAGAACTATCCCGTATCTTGGCGAATGCTCTAGTATTTGCTAGATAGGGTAGGCTGGTATATAAAAAAGGGGAATGGAATGTAATGTGTGTGTAGACAGTGAGTAATTGATCTGCAGTCAGAAGTATTATTGAGCATGTTCGTTGTTATAGCGTTTGTTTAGCGCGCTTGTTGAAGTTGAGTGTATCGGTAAAGTTGTATTCGGAAAGAATAAACCAGTTTTATTAAGTAAAGACTTGTGTCGTTAAAATTTCGTCGGAACGAAGTTACGGTAAAATCAATTAACAAACAGAGACGTAACAATATGAAACAGAAGGAACCTGTTTATAAAAACAATCGTGTTGAATATTTCTAAAAAGTATCAATACTACTTTAACCCTATGATGTTCAGATGTATGATCATGCCTTGAGGGCAAAGCTGTACCATTGAATTAAAAAATGATAGTAAATAAATTTATTGTCATTCTTTTACAGATTAAAAAAAATACATCATAGTTGAAATTTATTCAATAAAAAGTTTTATTTATCTAATTTTATACATAAAAATATTAGAAAAATCACATTTTGATTTAAGCAGGTTCCAAATGAAAACATTAGTGTTTATGAATTTTTTTTCTGGACATAACAAGGCACTTATTACTTAGCCTCCTGGACTTAGCCTCCTTAGGTGAAATTCAAAATAGTTTTAAAGTTTGTGTGACTTCCTATTCAGCAGATATTTGCATAGAGATTGGAATAAAGTGATAAAAGCTTAGTTTGAAGTACATTACTAGAAGAAAACGTGTTTTTAAAGAGCTTCTTCCATAATAATAGCCCTGATTATTTTTAAAGCTTTGGAGAAAGTTGCGTTATCTATTTATACTTCCTCTGAATTATGATAATGAAGTATCGTAGGAAATGATTTCATGAAACAAGATGATATACCTTAGTTAAATCATTTTATACTCGATTGTATCAGATTTCACTTCGGCATCAAGGCCACTGTGTTAACCTATGTTTGTGTGAGGTCTAGTCAGTCTAAATAAGTACTTGCAAAGAAAATCACTATGTATATATATACATATAGTAAATGACACTTGTATAACAAATTTAAAGACATCTGCTTGGTTATAATTTTGGTATGATAATAGTTATTTTTATTGTATGCCATTGATTGTAAACATAGTGAAACTGAGTAACTGAGTGTGATGTTTTTAGAAACAAACACAAAATCTACCATTTTTTAAAATAAACAAAGTTTTACAAGAATATACGAAAGCAAAAATCGGTAATTAAAATGTGTATCAAAGGTATTCATTTTAATTATTTCTTAAAAAAGATGCATCACAAGGAAATCTTTTCAAATTTTCAAAGCTGCAAATTCATACAAATATAACACATAAAAGTAAGATATTTTACTTTTTTTGGCATATATGTACTGTGGTTTGAACATGGTTTCTGATCAATTAATCAAATGCAATCAATTACTAAGATCCTTAATTAATCAATTAGCAAATACCACTAATTGTCCATCTCTATTTGTCAAATATATTTTACTAATTTTATAAGTTTAAAAATTATTTTTCTGTCAATCAAGAATTGTAATAATTTCCCTGATTGATATTAAGATTAGCTCTGTGATCTTCTTTCAGAGATATTTGATTTGTAATACAAATTACTCATTTTTAAATCTGTAAGTTTTTGAATATTTTAAATTTGTTTCCAATTTGCAGTAACATAGAAAAATTATTCAGAAAATATTCATTTTGAGCATTGGTTTCTCATTTTAGGTGAATGGGTGCAGCTCCTATCAAAGAAAGAGAAGAAAAATCGTCGGAAAGAAGAAATTCTGAATGGATCTGTATTGGAAACAAACAGAGAAATTGCTAGTGAAGATACAGGTATGAGAACAAGCAGAAACTATTTTTTATTGTTTTTTTTTAAAATTCCTTGTTTGTTATTTTTGTTTCCATGTGTTTGATTTACTACTTTTTCATAATATATATTGTACATATTCTTTTTTTTTGCCTCATTTCTCTTTTTTTATTTGATTTTTGGGAAAACTTACTTAACATGAAATATGAAGTTGTTTCACTAAAATTGTGAAATTGATTTTTTATATGAAGAAACCAAATATTACGAGATCAAGAAACTTGATGTTTAATGATTTCTGTTTTTGGGTTAATACTTCCTAAACACAAACTGAAAAATTGTTGTTGAGCAGTTTTTTACTAGGTTAAGATAATGTTTGTATTTCAACTAACAGCACACGGTTAAAAGAACCACGAACATAAGCATACTTTTTTTCATTAGTTGTTGGCCTTCTCAGCATAATCATATGTAGCTTTTAGGCTTTCATTTTCCAACTTTTGTGAAGGTACACTTAGTGTATTCAGAGATATATTATGTATACTTTATGGGTACATTGTGGTCACAAGGTTGATCAAAATGACTGAGCTCATATATAAAATTTTCTCGTACAATCTCAATTTAGGTAAAACTCTACTACTAGTCTATAGTTTATTTAACTGTTAAGTTCACAGTTGTCTTATACTGAACAAAATAATGCTATACATTTTAGTTTCTTCATAGATCAGTTAAAAAACTGTTTTTCTCAGCTTTTTAATTCTTCCATTGAATGTAGCATGAAGAACAATACAAAAAAGGCAGAAGATTATGGTGAAGTAAATACAATGTGTACATCATTAAAATATATTAATAATCTATTGAATTCTTTCCATATGGGTTCAGTCAAAGTGACCAACCTGGTAACCACAAAATAACCATCAATTTCCTTACTATAACTTTTAACATGTTTTGTTGTGTCTTCATGAAATTTCACAAGCTTTCATTAAACATTGAGGCTTTTGTATGCAAAAAAATCAAGTTTTTTGATTAAGTAATTTTTTCTAAAGATTTATTCATGAATATACAAAGGTAAAGTGTATATACTTTATACAGGTATAACATAAAAAAGTAATGAAACAAGAGTATTAAAAAATTATGAATTGTAACATGAAATAGGGATCCTTCTACAAAAATTAATGAAACAAGAATTAAAACCACAATCATAAATTTATTAAATTTAATTCCTACTTTTGCAGCTTTTTACACTTATCTGTAGGCCAAAGTAAGGATTACATTTTATAAATCTGTGATTGTGGTTTTAATTCTTGTAAAAGTTATAGCTATCAGGGATATGGCTGTACTGAAAGTGTATAGATGTTGTGTCCATTTCATTGACATATAAAAACTGAGCAAATAAATAGGGAAAGAAAATTAAAATTTCAACAGAAAGTAGGGATCATTGGTTATTCGTAGAATTGCTATAAGAAGTATCCAAAACAAAATAAATGCTGAAATAAAAAGTACACAAGTACACAATCTATCCAACTAGTATCACTTTACTTGTGTGTGTAATAAAAAGTAGACAAGCAAGTAAAGTGTTACTAATTGGATAGATTTTAAAATGATTTTGAATTGCTACTTAAATCTATTCAACTAGTATCACTTTACTTGTGTGTGTACTTTTTATTGTAGCATTTATTTTGTTTTGGATTCTACTTGTAGCAATTCTACGAATAACCAATGTTCTCTACTTTCCGTTAAGATTTTTTTTTTCCTATTTATTTGTTGTTAGCCTTTTCAACATTACCATGTGTAGCTATTAGGTTTTCCATCTGTTGAATTATATAAGATTGTTTTAATAAGAAAGTTTATAAAATTGCAGATTTATAACACAAAGAATCACATCCTTCTTTTTGTCAGATACCTGTAAACACTAACTTTCAAGTGCAATGGCTCATTAGGTTTGTATTTGAAGTGTGGTAGCTCTTGATGAACTCTAAGTAAAAACTAAATTTATATAAGAATCTGAACATTTATGAAAATTCAAAATGCATCATGGAAAGATTTTATCCAGCCTTCAGGGAATATGGTGAAGGACACTTTCTTTTGACAAGTTCAGAATAACATGTATACATATTTGAGTGAGTGCATTTAGTGTGTCAAATGATTTCATAAGCATAAACGAACAAACAGCTAACATCTTGTAACTACAAACAATTGGTAAATAAATACTTTGTTTATTTAACCATAGTGACTTATTGAAATCAAATGACTGCTTTAGTGTAAAGCAAAACCTGTTGGTATGTTTGCTTTTTCAGAAACAAACTAAAAGTAAGTTTCTGACTTGTGCATTCTGGTTAGAAAGATTCCTGAATCGGCTTCAAAAATCAGTCCTTGATGGCTTCTTATCCTCCTCCACTTCTGTTTAAATGTCTTTCCACTCCTATTCACCCAAGTGTTCAAGTTCATATTAGAGCTTCTAATGAGTAATGAATCTACTTCTCAGAAGACTGCAAATGCTGTTCATTAAACTGAAACTCCTTTCTACCCCAGCAGTGGATGAAGGATTCAGTACTGTCAACATCAAAAGGTGAAAAACAGTCATTTAAAGTACATTCAGAAAGTACATCTTGGTAAATTGTTTCATTTTACTCAGAAAAACCTTTAGTTACTAAGCATGTCACTAAAGTTAGTCTCATTGATAACAAGTACAATAATAGTTCATATTTCAAACAAACAAAAATATCACAGATAAAATTTAATAGAATCTTCACAAACTAATACAGTTAGAATTTACTTTGTAATAACTCTGTTTGATATTGCATCTTTAGAAACTGCTATTTCCATAGTTTGTAGATTGAGACCTACAAGACACACAAGTTTGGGAGGAGTGATTCTATAATACATAAATACTTATTTTTATTGGAGTGCTATAAGTAGCTGCACTAAAAGCTGCTAGAAATGTTGGGTAGAAAACAGCATTTTAAATTATTTTAGTTAATTGGTTAATGCCTTTGTAGATTTGTTTACCACATAGAAAATACTGTAGAAAGTGGCATGTTTTGATCAGGTCTTGATCATTTATTATCTAAGAAAACATTTTTTGAGCAACTTGCGATTTAGAATTAACATATTAAATCCTGATTTTCATATAACTGTGTGTATGTTTTCACTGTCTCTGTCTGCTTTGGAATATCACAGAAACTTAAGGTGAAACTAATCATGTATGCAGAGTAAAATAACTGTGTCACGTACCAAACCTGAAAGAATAGTTTTGTGGTTCTCCCAGTGGTTCTAAAAAGGTCACACTCCTCTTCAGCAAGTATCTCAATGTGATACCTACTGATTAGAAGAGAATTGTAATGTAGCCATCTCTCAGAATTATGATCTTTTTGAGGTTATAGTCTGATAATTTTCCCAGTTAAATGCATACAAAATAATGTTGAATGCACTATGCTCCCCATTCATGGCATTTGCTTGGTGAAATTGGGTGTTGGAGGCCAACACTTTATGCTCTAATAGTATTTCAAATGCATTCATCACAAGCTCTGAATTTAGCTTAGAAACATGGAATGCAAGAAAATCCTCGTATACTGTAAAACAGTGATATAATTTTGCAACATAAGGCAAGCTGTTTGCTGTTATCCTCATTGTTGTATTTGTCAGGAAACTAAAACAACTGCCTTCAGAAAGAAGCACAGAAATTTGTTTTCCTTGTGTCTACTGGCATTGATCAAATTTGTGACTACAGTGCCTGACAACTAAATAACATTAGGAAGGTAATCTTTCAAATGCCATGATCTTTCTTCAACATTTAGGCCTACTAAAAGTTAATTTACTCTGAAATTCAGGATTGCATCTATGTTTTCCACCATGAAATTATCATTTTTTTTGTTGACATTATGCTGTTCCTCTGATTAGTTACCAACAAAAAGCATTCTGTCAAATGTAGCTACTTATGTTGAATGATTTTAGATTTTGACTGTATTCTAGGGTTTTCCACGAATTATTCTCATTTACACAGCTTTACCAGAAAATATGAACATTTCCAATCCCATGTTCACTGTTGCTTGATGGAAGTCTTGGCACTAATATCATCTTTAAGGCTTTGCTACTTATCATGAATTGTTTGTCATTATGCTTAACACGAAATTTCATCACATCAATGTTAGATTCCTTGAACATGCCTGCCATTTCCACAGATTATGTTAACAGACTCTACATACGCATGATGATGATCAATATTAGCAAACTTTGGACTGCATCACAAAGTTGTTCGCTTAAACTTTCAGCTTCATGTTTCACAACTGCATAAAGATCAGTTATTGACCTTGTACTATTAAACTGTGTTACTTTTATTCATTGCATGTGATATACAAGATAATTTAATGTTGTAACTTCATGAATTGACAAAAGAAGTCGCACAAATTAGAAATAATTAACTTTTATAAAGTATATAAACCTAGACTTATAAACATTGAGAACAAGTAGGCATAGGACAATAAACAAAATGTGCCAGTTGTCAGAGTCCAATTAATTTTGAATGTTATGTTGATGGTAAATGTCACATGAAGAAACATTGAATCAAGTATGAACTATGGCAACACAGGTCTTAGGCATGAGTGACCAAGGTGTTAGCACTTTTAAAATTTCACCTCCCCCCCCCCCTCATCCTTTCTGTGTTGGAAAAATTGAATTCAGAAAAAAGACAAGCTAGTCTTTAGTTTGTTAATGTAAATAAACAAGTTTTTAAGGTTTGATGACAATTAAAATTGTCATAAAAAAAGTAAAAAATTTGTGTGTTCATAATATTTGTTATGTGACTAATGAACAATTGTGTAAGCCACAAAATAAACATCTGGTGAAGTATCTAGTCCATGCTAAGTGTTTTATAGATCTGTTTTTGTTTGTAGTAGTGTGACTGAATAGATCAGTTAATTGGTGGAATAGAAGACTTACTGATTCTTATGATACAGCATGCAGTAAATGAGATTAGAATTAATAAGATATATTTTCACATAGTTGTTTAATCTTACACTTACACTATGCGGTACATTTTGCATTCTATTTGAAAAACTTTCTGTCTCAGGTTGGGAATATTGCTGTTACCTGGCATCGAGAAAGGAGCCAGAATTTTTGTTCTGAAAATATATAAAATAAGATTGTGCATGGCCACTAGATAGTTTACAGGTTCATGAATAAGGGACTATATGATCGAGATAGAATTTTTAAATTAATGTGTAGAGAAGAAATATATTTTAGTTTACTAAATTAAGAAATTGTTATGAAGCACAATACCAAAAAAATTCAATTCTCACATATTCTTTCCTTCATCTTGTCTCATTCAACCTGTTATATCAGTATTAGCCGCTGCTTATAAAAATCATTTTGATGGGTAATATTAATTGTAGAATTTGTTTTATACGTTTTGCAGTCTTATTATTTTTTAGTTCACTGCTTTTCACATGTATAAAAGCAGTAAACAATTCTTGTTTTACCTCTCAAACAAAATATATTATCTCCAAAGTCTGTTTAGTATGACATTCTTATGCAACTATTTTAAATGTTATATCATTTACCACAAAAATAAAATGTTTTTCTATATGGCAGCAGACAGCAAAGATAGCACTCCAGCTAAAAAGAAGAAAGAAAAACTAAAGACAAAGAATGAAGGGAAGGAAACCAAAATTCCAACAGCTGATTTTCCTAAGGAAGAAACATTGTTAGTCTCAGAACCAGAGGTAATGTCTTAATCAGATATAATGCTAAAATTCGTCTTCTTGAAATAGTAGTCTAACTTTACCAACACCTTGCATTACTTCAGAAAAATCATATTATATTCATGAACTAGTAAAATGTGCATTTTATTACTTTAATTATAAGTTATTATATTTGTTTCAACATTTTGCATTATTCTTAAAGTTTTCACAAGCCTGTTTTCAGTTATTTTTCTTATTCACTGCCTAAGCTGTGTGTTTCTAATGCATTTTTTATATTATACTAAGATATATATAATTGTAACTTGTATGTTTATGTAATATATGAACAGAACTAATTAGGCAAGCAACAGGTTGCCAACTGTATATTTGCAATGTAATTTTACTTCCGGACATGCACTCTGTAGGATAAAGCCATAACAGTTGATGTCAGCCCATAATGTGTAAGTGTCTGAAAAGGAATTAGCTGAAGTGAGATTGATCCATTCTCGTGAATAACAAATTGAATCACAGAAAAAACATTATCTTGGCTACATGACAAACATCTAAGAGTAAGCACATAGCAAGATAATATCTGGAAACCAGTTTTGTAATACCCATTTTATCTGAAAATGAGATGTTTTATGTATTGTCAGTTTTATCTTTGAATGAGAGTATGGAATTTTTCTGCTCAGACAGATTTTTTTACAGACATCATCAACCAATATAAGTAAAGGATTTCAGCATATTTGTGGTAACCTTTATCTAGTGACATTTCTTCTCTTTTTTTTGGTCCTGCATAAATCATATGAGGAAAAGTACATATAAGAAACAATCCAAGCGATGTTGTGTAAGGATTATTTGTGACCATTAGGGACCTGTTAAATTTTACCTTCATGGTACACTAGGGTCTACTATTTCTTGAGAAATGTGGATCCAATCATTCAGAAAATATAAATATCTGAATATAGACAGGCAAAGATTCTTTGTGGTAAAGTCCAAGTTTAAGTACAACTTTTCTATTAAAAAAGTGTAATTTGTATAGAAATATGAAAACCCATGATCATGAAGTGTTAAAATGTTTCTTGGTTATTGTTTTCTTTTAAACTATCATCTTATACTGTATACTGTTAACTTGCAATAAATATATTGGGGCAGAATGTTTCACTGCTTTACTCTTTTATAATATCACCTGTGTAGCCTATTATTATACAGATGTTTCAAGGTTACTTGATCTATGTAAATAACCTTAGTTTGTGTGTTTTTAATGTATACCAAATATAACTGTAGTCTGAAGGTTTAAATTTTATATCTGTGCCACTTAATATTTTCATGTTAGAGCAATTTTCTAATTTTAATTGTTTACAAAAAAAAGAAAATTTTGTAGAAACTCAATTTTGAATTCTAGCAAAGTCCAAAAGATAAGAGAATTCCTAAGAAAGAGAAAAATGAGAAGGTATCCCTTAAGACTGATGAAACTCCAGCACCTCAGAAGACAGAGCTAGAATGTCAAGTGGAAATTAAGTCAGCTTCTGATGCTGTTGAAGTTCAAGAAGGTAAAAATAAGAAAAAAAAGGGTAAAAAGAAACATGAGGAGATTGAAAATGGGACAGTAGTGGATGACGTAGAAGTTGATAATGAAAATGATTCAAAGAACACTCTGAAGAATGAAGAAGACATTAAACAAACTGACCAGCAAGCATCGGAAACTACTGGGAACCAAACTTTTACAGCTGTGTTTGATGATAAACTGAATGAAGGTAAGGTGATAATACAGTGTGGAAAAACTTGAAGAAATTTGTTTTTATGTTGTTCTGATAGTCACATGGTGTTCTTATGAACTTAGTTGTTCATAATAACATTTTCTTAAATCTGTAATGTTGTCTTAATTTAATTGTGAAAGTTCATAATTTCATTCCTTCTCGCTGATCTTTCAAGCTTATATTTCAGTTATTTTTGAAGTTTTCTGATCATACCTGGAGCTTCTGTAATTGTATCGAAGGTAACTCAGTTTAGGATTTGAAACTGAGTGATCACACACTGGCTATGATGTGTATATATATGCAGGTGATGTTTGTTTCTTATGCACATTTTGTTACACAATTTTCCTGCTAATTAGAGAATGTAAAACTGTTTTATTTTGGTTGTGGATTTATATCAACTTGGTATTTCGGAGATTAATTAATAATTTTAAATTCACACTTTAATGAAGTTCCCCAGATTGTCTTTTTTTAATGAACTTTTCTGTTCACATTCATCTGTTGTTGTTTTTTAGCCGCAGCAAAGTGGCTCATGAAATAGCTGTGAATTTTTCAAATACAAACTTTTAGCTCATAGCTCCATCATCTCTTGACTGATTTGAGATCTAATTACTGTTTTGGACTCAGGAGGTCAAACCCTTTCAATTGACGTATTTAACAACACCCAAGGTCTCATAGATTCATTTATTTTAATCCTGCCTGAAAGAATTTCAAGTTCTGCAGCTGTTGAGGACTCTCTCTTGTTTTTGCTTAGTTTTCATATAATTTTTGGCTTTCTGAAGTTTAAATCAACAAATAATTGTGTTAATTATTGGTGTGAAGTTTTCTCTGTTAGTTTCCTATTAACAGCTTTCTGTAAAGTTGAAAGAAATGAAAAATTAGTAAATACTTAACTACTTCTTACATTTCTAAGACAATTTGTGAAGTGTTGGAATAATGTTAAGTAAATATTTGATAATGTGCATGGTAGTCTTTTCAAGAAAAAGTATTTGAAAATATTAAAGATAAACTGTGCATTCTGTTTAATCCTTTTGCTACTCACTGTATTTGTTATACATAAGATAACATTTATTTTTTTAGTTATTAGTTGTGTACACAGTCATTGATTACACCAAAAATTGGTCTTTTTTCTGTCATCAGCTAAGTAATTGGTTAATGACAATTGACTATAACAAACAAACATAAAAATGTAACTTTTACAATTATTCAATCTGGAAGTGTTTCTACCAGCATGAACAAATCTAAACACTGGATAACTCTCAACCACCCTAGTGGAAATTCCCTTCTCTTGCTCTTTAATAGTTATGGGTAACATCTTGGGCGTACTTTGACTTTATATGCATGAATGCTGGTAATTGGCTAATGTGTGGGAAAGTGAATACTGAATTGAGATTAGAGGAATCTAGGTAATACTATCATGGTGGTGAGTGCTAAATCCTACACTGCCAAAAACCAGACTAATAAAAAAACATCTTCAATAATATTCATCAAAATCATAAATAATATAACTGTTTAAGTAAATGTTACATTGTTAACAATAATTGGTTATTAATCAGTAATTGGTTGGTTGTGCTTAACCAATCATCAAATGTGATTTTAATAGCCAATTTCCACCACTAGTAATTACATTTGTAAAAATAAAGAATCCCAAGAAAAAGCATCAATACACTTTGTAACTTACCCTGTTAATCATTATTTTCAAAATGTCTTGGATTCTTCCATGACCACTATGTTGTTATTTGTTCACTGATGCTTAATTGCTGACTTCCTGGTAGTACAATTCACTGATATTATATTCCAACTATGGACTGATTGGTATGCATAATTTAATGATGTGTCAGAAAACTACAGGTTTTGTGATGTTTTAGAATGTTACAATGCAGGTTAGGGTAAAGATTTTATAATGTCTCAATTATTTTTTAAACTCTGGGATTGGTTAATATTTTGTTGTGAATTTAAAACTTGATATTAGGTATAGTATTTTCATCTTTAAATTATTTAACGAAATATGATAGTGATTTAAAGAAAATATATACATTGTTCTTACATCAATGTCATCAGAAGTTGGAAGTGGTGATAAAGAGAAACAGAGCAACAACAATGATTCACAGTCTAATGTTGCATTTGATGAATTAGGTGGTAAGTAAAGCTTTGAAATTTTTTCATTAATATGTTTTAAGTCCTCTGTGTTATATTATGGTAGAACAAAATCTTAGTAATTACACAAAGCCCAATAACATTGGTGGTGGAATAAACCTTTTTACCATGATAAGTGTTTAGTCTAAAGGATAATAATAAAGGTATTTAGATTAGTATATAAAATAAAAACATTACTTATGTGAAACTTCCAATTTGTTATTCTCCACGTGAAGCATCACAGATTGGAACATATCAGTTTGCCCCTATCCTTTCATCACAGTCTTATGAACAGGATATCTTATAATTAGATAAATGGATTTTGACTAATCTTATAAAACAGGTACTACATACAAAGTTCTAGACCTGATTAACTTTTGAAGGTCACTGGTACATAGAAAACGTTCACTAACCTCGAGAAAATAGATTTCAATACAGGATGAATGAATACTGACCAAATTTGCATAACAGGTTGTGCATACAAATTTTTAGATCTGGATAATGTTTTTAGGTCATGGGTCAAAGATTACTGGTATATAGAAAATCTGCCCCAATCTTGTGGACAGGTACTAGATCATCATTGGGGTGGGGGTAAACATACAGTTTAACGTTAGTGGAAGCATAGGTGTTTCATAAAAACAAAATGCATTTGTTTAAAAAGTGTTTGTAAATTCTGTCACTTTTATTTTGACATGGATATGAGAAAGATGTGTTAACGGTGCTGTGTATCTTATTATAATGAAACTTGCAATGTATGCGTCCGAAACTCGGATCTCGGAAACTATCACACCAATCATCACCAATAATAACTGGGTAATATTTTTATAACTAGGCAGTATTTTTATAGCTAAGCAATAGATAAAACAATTGAAATTTCCACAGAAATGATGTTTCAGATTTAATCAACAAAAATTACAAACAAAAAGGAGTAAGTTTCAAATATAAAACAATCAAAAAACAAACTTAAAAAAATTATTTGTTTTTCTTCAGTGAAAATCTCGTGAGTGTTGCAACAGAAAAGCAAGCCACTTTGATTGATAACTTTGTCTACAAAGAAATACTTCAATAAAATCTACTGTGTGATGTAATGCTGTGATGATAGCTCATTTTTAAACTAAAATTTCAATAAAATCCTTTTTCTCATGGATGGTGAATGTTATTGAATATCAAGTATTAGTACATTGTTGTAGAAATGTTAGATAATTCCAGAAAAGGCTGCAAGCCCAATAGCCTTCTGCAGGAACTATCAGTTATATCTGCCTGGAGGGTGGGTATTTCTGCTAGTCTAGTTAATAAGCATATTTCCAACACTGTTTCTTAAACTAGCAACACATTATAAAAATCTTGTGGATTAAAAAAATAACTTGTTAGTACTTTGTTGTGTCATAATAATAAAAAACACCTTACCAATGTCTCATGTTTCTCTATAATAAACACATTACTAGTATCTTGTAGACTAAATGTAGTAAACACATTATTAATAACTTTTCATCAAAATTGTAAACAGTTGTAGTATATTGTATAATAAGAACATCATCAGCATCCTTGGATCTAAATACAGTAGCAAAATCATTATCATCATTCTTTGATAGATTGTATAGGCACAGTATTCATAATGAGTACACTGCAATCGGTGGCAACTGCCAGTTGTAGACAAAACAAGACTAGAGGACAATGTTTCAAAAGGATTAGAGGTAAGCAATCTATGGCTACCATTGGTTGAAGCTGCATGGAGCCATTCCACCAGTCAGAACCAGGGATAAACAATCAATCACAACACATCCTCCACAATCCACCAGGATGCTATAAAAGATATGCATCAGCTTACACAAACTGACCTGAAGATGAAAGACAGAAGACTTTTGAAACATCGTCCTCTACACTTGTGTTTTTTTCTACAGGAGACAGTTGTCACCCATTCCAGTGTACTCATCATTATCTTTTGTGGAAGTAAATACATTATCAGCTTTGTGTGCAGATTTTTGGAGGGTTGAAATAGCAAATGTTTTACTAAAATCTTGTGGTTCAAACTAGTAAATGCATCATCATCACCACATTGTATGCCCTACCACTTCAGTATTTCGTGGAAGGACTACTTGGATTAGGTGGAATATTTGTTATGCATAAATCTTTAGAATTCTTGAAAAATTTACTTGAAACTAATATTGAAGTCTGAATAATCTGCATCTATGTTTTGTTTGTGTCAGATATGTGGCAAGATGCTAAACCACAAAAATTTAAAATAAAAATTTACTTGAAACTAATATTGAAGTCTGAATAATCTGCATCTATGTTTTGTTTGTGTCAGATATGTGGCAAGATGCTAAACCACAAAAGAAGAAGAAGAAGGCACGAAGAGATTAAATGAAGAGCGCTGATGAAATAATTACTGGCTGAGTAGTAGTTGTAAATACAAAGCTGGTAATGATGCTGAAAAAAATCTCCGTCTTTCATATCAGTGGTTGTTCTTAATATGATTATTCTTGATACCAGATCTCTAAAATTTACTTTGAAAGTGAAAGAAAGAATAAAAATATTTCTTGTGGTATCCATAATGAACCTGTGAGAAAGAAGCAAAAAAAACCGGTGTTTTTTGTCTACAGCTTTCATTGAAATAGGTTACTGGAAACGTAAAAGCATTGAGGCTAAACCAAGGCTTCTCGAAATAAAAAGCATACAGTTGAGCTCTTAATATGATGAAACAAGTCCATTTGTATCATTAACTGAAAAGTCATAGAATAGGAACCTTGTTTCTAAACTGAATGGTTTATCTGCTACAAGTCAAAAGAATTTTTGAACTATGCCTACATTGCTATGGATCCATATTTTTATTCCTTTCTCTGTCATTTTGGAATTGCAATATTGTAACTGTATAAGGAAGAATATTTTCCTGTAATGTGAATTCTTTTAAATGTCACCATTTTGTTAGATTACTTCAAATTAAATGTGATTTATCAATGAATCAGAGGAATGTTTAAATTACAGGTTAAAAAATGTAATTAATACTTCTAAAGTAAAATGACAGCAAAATAATTTGTCTAAAACCATTAAAGTTTTTATTACACTTATTGTAGTTGTGTTATCAATGGTGCTGCTTCTTTTCTTCTTTCTTTATAAAATACAGAGAATGTTCTAAGTCTCTGCATAGGACATTTTATGAAGTCAGTAGTATTTTTGTTCTGTACATAAAACTAATTTTCTTAAGCTAAAGTTTGGGTGGTTTACTTTTATTAATTCTCTCATATTTGCTAAAAGTTAATATTATTATGTATAAGAAGATTGGGAAAATTTTTCATTGGCTCTCAGCTAACTTTTGTTTCAAAGTAGCTATTTAAGTAGTAATAATCAAAAAATTATACAAGTATTCATCTTATCCAAAATGTTATGTACTCAAAGGAATGCATAATATGTTTTTGCTAGTTACTGTTTGTAACCTGGTGTGATTTAGAGTGCAATTCTGAAGATACATATATCAGATGTGTATGAAGAGAAACTAATGCTGATATATAATAATAATAATAATAATAATAATAAAGTTAAGATTTAACGATAGATGGTAAGGTCCACTGAATAATTTTCTGTTGGTGCTTTCAAATGCAGTAAAGTAGTTTTTATATATAATGCTATATTATATTCACATTTATTTTTTTCTTTTTAGGAAAAATTGACTTGTCTTTAACTATTGACATATTAATAGTACGTGGAAAAAGTCTTCCAAATGTTTATTTGTATTGTAAAAGATTTAACTTTAATAATACTTGTTTGACCTTGTGTCTCTTTTGTAACAGTTAAAAAACAAGGAGTATATAACGTAAACATGTTTTTGAATGACACCTTTTTTTTAATGTATTTTCTGGAATAGGATAACAAATCTTTATCTTCTTCACATTTATTGGGAAAAAAAAAAGTAATTTTAGAAGCTAATCATAATGATATAAAGATCACAACTTAAGCCTAAGGAAAACAGGTTTAATTTTATCTGTAATTTAATAACCACTTGCTGATACGAGTGTAGTAAATAAATGAATATTGTGTTAATTAAGAAAAACAACATACGAAAACAGAAGAAATATCAGAATCTAATAAGTCTTTTTAAATAACTCTACGACTTTAAAAAGGATACAAGTATACTTTTTAGTCGTGTTAACCCCACTAATATTTAACTATGCTCCACATTTATTACTAAAAGGTTGTAAATATCCATTAAATATTACATAGGTGGCTTGAAGTGTAACTCAATCCTAATGTAAAAATAATTATAAAACAAATTCATCACTGGTGGGTCCAGAATTTTCAGAAGTGTGGGACCTATACACTAGTTGTACTCTATTCTGGAATACTGACCATGTGAAGTGTTTATTTGAACATTTCATGTTAGATACATTCCAAGGACATATATATTTGTATCGATTATATATTTTGTGTAAATGTGCTTAAAGTTTTCCACATAGAATTTCTAGTCCCACCAATGTGCACCTTGCACTTAATTGTGACCTAGAAACAAATTTAAGTACATGTCAAAAAATTTGGAAGTTAAATATTTTTCTTCTCTTCAAGACCTTTGAAATTACTTTTTGAATTTTGCTCTTTTGCCCTTATATATTTTCTAATAGTAATCATAACAAAGAAGCAACATTTCCTCATTCTAAGTAAAAGCAGATTATATATATAAGAATTTATAAAAGACATGTACTCATAGTTGTTAAATATTTGAAAGTATTCTATAAGAAGGAATCCTGGGGATCTGCATATGTTTGTTTGATAGTCTTAATCTGATGACTTGCAAGCTCTTCATGGATGTTGATACTGTTTTCATTTATTCAAGGTACCTTCAAATGGGAAAAACTGTTGGTTTGTTCTCCGTTAAGATACATTGGTTAGTGATGGTTGATTAAAAGTTATTTCGTATGTCTTTTTCTGTGCCAAATTCAAGTATACCATTATCTATGTCCTTAAGATGATACTGTCTGAAACTTATTAGCAGAATATATCTTGATATTGCAGTGTTTGAAACTGGTGTAGTAGAAAACAAATGAACCTTTTTTTTTTCTTGTGGTTGAAATTCCTTCTGATTTTATTTGTCATTAAGTAAACTTGCTTGTTAGCTATATTTCAGTAGTGATCTACTGAAAGTAAAAGAATAAAAAAAAAAGAGAAATTAGGAACATTTATTTTGTGAGTTATATATAATTGTCATGTGAGGAATGTAATTCACATGTCCAAGTCAGGAAGTTATGTGCTTTATTAGGTTTTGCATGCATAGATTACCTGTCAACACTGTAATGAACTGTGATGTTAAACATCCACCATTCTTTGTTTGAATGGATGTGCTACAAACCAATAAAACTTTTCCCCAAAAAGGTAAAATTACATGAAAGTACATATGTACTTGAAGCAAGAGAATCAGGTACTAAATCCTCATATTCATGGTGTAACATAAACTGGGAAAAAAAATACTAACATTTCTGGTTCCAAAGGTTTCTTATGTTCATTTTAATGCATATTTCTTAAGTTTAAAAGTAGCAATATATCTTATCATTCAGTGGTTATATTCTTTTAAAAAAAGATAGTTAAGGGTTGTATTGACAAGTAAAATAATTTATAAAACACATACCTTATGCTAAATTAGTTTAATGCTGAACTGCCCAAAACATCAAACTTTTAGGTTAAAATGTGCTAATAGTCTAATGCAATTGAGAGAAAGAATTATAAAACAATTTTAGGCTAGAAGTAAAGGAAACATACTAAGGCTGCTAATTGCTTTCAACACCTGTATTTTAAATATAGATTACCAGTAAAAGTAATGATGTTTAGAAGACTGTCTGTCACTGAAATTTCCTTACAGTGTTATGTTTCTATGGTTTGTAGATAATGGAGTACAGAGGATGATGAGTCTTGATTGCATGGTTCAGAAATGGAACATACTGTAGAATAGTGTTTCTCAACCACAGAGCTGCTGACTAGCACTGGTTTGTCACAACCATTTTGCTAGTCTGTGGGATTTTAACAAAAACCAAACTGACAGAATATTCATATAAAAATTATAATGTTTTTTTTTTGTTGTTGTTCTTGTACTTGCATTTGAGTGGTCCGCGACAGTTTAGGGAGGCAGCGAGTCAGTCTCTGATACTGAAAAGGTTGAGGATCATTGCTGTAAAAGATGATTTATTGTTAGACCTTTTTACACTGTTACAATTCTATTGGTCAGATAGTGGAGCTTAGGAAATGGTCTGTCTTTGATATTTTTTTTTATGTACACTGCCAACTCTTCCCTACCCCTAGCTGTGTTTACAGTGACATGTTTTGACTCTGAATGGAACAGGAAGTGCTGCATTGTAAAATGTTATTAGATAATTATTAGGAATGCTTCATGGTTATGGTTGGTAAGCTGATGATTGATATAGTGTACAAGTTAGTGGACTTAAGGAAACAAGTTTATCTTTATAGCAAGTCTGTACCACAATAATTTGGTAAACAGTTACAAACTCATACAATGTGAAATGACTTGCTTTCATAGTAAGCTCATCTCAAACTTTAGTAAAAAGTATGGCTTGTTTTTATGTGATAATGCTTGAAAATTGTGTTTGTACTTTTGTGATTAAGGTCATTAATATCAGGAAGCAACACACACACACACACACACACACCAATAGGTTTTTATGTTAAATTTTAAATATGAGATTTCAATTTCAAAAATGACAGCATGAGAAATGGTAAGTTATAAAACAACACATTCTTTATTATTTTTGATGAAGTTGACAAAGACATGAATAAAGTAATGTAGAAATCAGATTGTTAGTTTTAACACATACTCAGAACACGGAGTATGTGTATGTCTGAAAGTGGGTCACATTCTTATGTTAGTATTGTTGTAACATGTTCTGTCATTCAATGGATTTTTTTGGATTACTTGGTGAAAATAAGGCAAAGTCTAGTACACATAATAATAGCAGATTGATTTATTTCCTCCTCAACTCTTCTACAGACTACATTCACTTTAACACAAGTAGTAGGCCTCAGTGCATGAACATTTCAATGCTGACGTCACAACTAAATTTAGGTTTAACCTCAAATATAACATTTCCATATAAACTTGGAGAAGTACATTTAACTTAACTAGGTTTGTTAGATAAATGCATAACTCACCAAGCAACTGGATAACATAAATACACAATAACTTGCACTGAATACTCGATAACTTCTCATTAAATACTTCACTTGTGCTGAATGAATTGTTTACTCGTATTTATAATTAATGTACCAATATCTGGATCTTAGTCAGATTTACTAGGTTTTAATCTTGTGCACCTTCTAGCTGACATATATCAAAACATTGAAATTATATCTTGCAACAGTATAAAATCTTTCAAACCCAAGTTCTAGTCTTTCTGGTGATTAATATTTGGGAGGCTTAAGCCTTGTTTCTTTTTATTTTGTATGATGGTTTATAATGAGGAGAAATCCCAATTAAGGTCTTGTACCTCATGATGTTTCAAGTGCACTGTGCGTCAGCAAATGCATTTAATTTGATAACCTAAACAAAAGGGTTTGCACTTCAATTTGCTGCAAATATGAAACATTCCTTTTGGTGTGTCTATATATATATGTAAACAAAGTGTATGAAAAAGAACTTAAAAGAGATATGAAACTTTCTTTTCTTAATCTTTTTTGTGGTAAATACTGTGTTAATACAGTAGTAATACATATGCTTGAATAGTAATTCAACAATCAAAGAATAAAGCAAATTCAACCCCTATCAGAGAGAAAGACCTCGAAAGTAATTTGTATTTTCTCAAATAAAACTATTGAAATTTTGTTACTTTCCTTATAAATAAACTTTGTTGCAATATAATATTTAGGTATGACTAATTAATGAAAAGTTTTATTAAAATATTACATGTTCTTTATAGTGTATTGTTGGTTCTAGCATAGTGTTTAGCTCTCACTGTGGCAAACACATATGAACATAACTTATCCTTTTCCAGGTTTTAAGAGATTATAAACACCATACAAAAAGAAAAATAGGTTATCCATTTAAACATTCCAAAGATATTGGTAAAAAGTTAGAGAAAACATTGTTGACTGTTTTAGGCTGTAAGAATTTTTCGTTGATAATCATGGGCTGAAAACTGGTGTTAATCATTATTAGATATGAGCTTTGATAAGTTAAATCATTTAATGTGAAGAAAGAGTTAGATTGGACATAGTAACTGGGATGAGTAGAATTACTTGGTGTTTCACAAAGTAAAACCCTCAAAAAATTCTTTTGAGTGTTAAGAAGGTTGGTGCATTTAAGAATCCAAACATTGGTGTACAATTGTATTTTCAATATTGTATTCAAATTTTTGATGTACTAACATATTTCTAGATGTCTCTCTGTTTTAAACTATTGCAGCAAATTTAGTATTTTAAAAATGTGCCGTTTGCAAAATAAAATTATTGAAAGTTTTCCACACTCATTACTAATAGAATAGATGATGTTAGAAGTCAGTATTTTGTTTACAGTAATGTTTGTAGTTATTTGTTATGTAATCAATCCCAGCACTGGTGGTAAGAGTAACATGGGAATGATTGTATAACTAAATGGATGTAAATGTGTCTGTGGAAAACAATAAACTGTTTAATAGAAAGTAATCACATTGACTAGTATTTACAAAATATATATTTCATTTGGTTCAAATTTGTATTTCAATTTGAGGTTGTATTAGCTGGATTTCTTTGATACAACTGTTTTGAAATAGATATGTCTTCTCAGCATGTTACATCTAGTTCATGCAGGCAGTTCTTAAGCAGACATGTATCTGTAAATCTTACCACTTGGTAAATAATCAAATCAAGAAGGGTTTGGATTTGTCTGGCAGTTACAAATATGTATACTGGTGACAGATATGTTGTCCTAAACTTATACCTGCCTGTGTTCTTGTTGTATTGGGACCAGTGGGAATAAAAGTATATTTTCAATGTTTGTCTTGAGTTGCTTGATGAAAAGGCTTAGAGTGATACCATAAGGCTATTGCTAAAGTATACATTCTCAACATTAATATTTCAAACACATCTAGATAATCATATGTGCTCAATATCAAATGCTTGTTTGTAAGTAATGTATTTTATTTAATCATTTTCTTTACTACACTTTTACCCAAGTGTCTCCCTCAAGTAGCAGAACTTTTTTTAAGCCAGTGCATGCATAGTGTTACTATGTACCAGACCTTCAACTTTTGATATCAAAGGATATCTCACAAAGTTGTTCAGAAATAGGTCTTGATACTATTATAAACTGTATAACTTGCAACTGAGTTATTACAGTTTATACCAGGACTATTTGATGAAGTTAACTTCTTCTGCTTGGGTTTCGAATAGCCTATCTTCAACAATTCAACCTATGGCTAGTCTCATTCTACTTATACCTCCTCCAGTAGCTGTAGAATGAGATCAGTCAAATTGCCAGATGCAGCACCTGTGGATTTCTGTGAGATTGTACTGTTGATTTGGGTACTGGGAAATCATTGTCCTTGTGTACTAGATTCTTATTGGAAACTGTGTAAGGAGAAGTAATGGGCTTTGGCTATAACAGACTTGTGATAGAGCATTTTGCTGTGGAAATTATGCTGCAGAACTATTGTCAAAATGCATGGTCTTCAGCTAGATTGTAACAGGACTTGGTAACATGAACTGTAACAACATACAGATAATGCTTTCATTACCCTCTCTTCGTCTTTATGTATCAAATCTAGGATCTCGTGTTCAATATTTCTATATTGTTTACTGATTTCGTCATTAGTATTCTCATCAACTCTTGTATCTGTTTAGGTCCAAGATTAACTACTTTATTGCTGTTTAGCTTCTTATGTTGTCCACTTTTGCATTATGTGCAAGTGACTTCACTACACAAAGCAAAATGAGAGTGCTGTCATGGTGTAGAAGTTTTAATTTCTATATGGAATTTAGGCCTGGCATGGCCAGGCGATTAGGACGCTCGACTCTCAATCTGCGGGTCGCGGGTTCGCATCCCCGTCCCACCAAACATGCTCGCCCTTTCAACTGTGGGGGCATTATAATGTGACAGTCAATCCCACTATTCATTGGTAAAAGAGTAGCCCAAGAGTTGGCAGTGGGTGGTGATGACTAGTTGCCTTCCCTCTAGTCTTACACTGCTAAATTAGGGACGGCTAGCGCAGATAGCCCTCGTGTAGCTTTGCGTGAAATTCAAAACAAACAAACTATATGGAATTTATTCTTTAGATACTGACACTTTGGTAACATTACTTTTCAGAAAATCATGGCCCAAGCTGCCATTTTTATGTGTGTCAGTTTTCATAAGCACATAAAAATAATGCTCTAATCTTGGTATCCTTCCTTGACCTTGTAATTCCTAGTATCTTCACTGATAAAAAGTGGCATATTTTTTTAGACTTTTCTACATACATCACTTAGAAACTAGATTTTTCTTTAACACATGTGCAGCTTAAAAACAGACTACGATTATCAAACAATACTTTGCACCTTCAGTAATTTACCCGCAGCTAGCAAGAAATGGATCTACATTATTTTCTAACTTATTTTGGAATATAGTACACAAATTCAAAGAATTAATTTTGTAAGCAATGATTTTGTTTTCTATAAGAATTTTTAACATCATAGTAATGCTTCTTAAAACACTGAATTAATTGCATTTTAGGACAATGGTTCTTCAAGAATCCTTGGAAAAAGTACATCTACTAGTCTGGAATACTTTCATGTAAATACCATGTATCAACCTATTAAAATGTGTAATATTACACAGGCGTGCGATGGTTTTATTGTCTTGAAATTTTTACATGTTCTATAGTAGTTCCTATATGCTGAATTCTAAAATATTATTTTTCTCCATCACCTACAGATTTTTCACAAAACATCATAAATACATAAAAGAGAAACCATAATGTGTAGTTTTTAGACTAAAAGATATAGATTTCACACAAAAAAATGAGGATGAATATTCATTTGACATCAATGTCCTTCCCTGTTCTTCAGTTTGTTTATATTTTTCTAACAAACATAATAATAATAAAAAATTTTCGTTGTGGTAAACGAAATAATAATTTGATCTAAGTAAGAGTTTTTTTTATTCCCAATTTATAAAAAATCCTTATGTGATAGGAAAAATGAATGTTTATTTTCGAAATCTGTGTAGTTGAATTATGAAAAATCCGTTATGAAGTTTAAATTTGCAGGCTTGTGTTATTTACCTACTGTTGTTGCCGTTTAGTGTACCTTGGTATATACCACAAATCTTGTGCTTTTTATATCTACCATACAGCTTCCATTCTTTTGTAATATATGAGGAAAATATCATTTGTGATGTTGCTAACCTATATGTTTTGGAATTTTTAGCTGTTTTTAGTAGTTCATATGACATAGCATGCTACATCTGAAACATGAAATAGGATGAATTCTTTACCTTTAATAAACCTTACTCCTAATTCTGTGATAATAGAAAAATGCCAAATTTCCAGTTGCAACATTGCTCAGTTGTTGCTCCAGGTAGAAATTTTTCTGATACTCTAAGCCTTTGTTTTGTCAAATTAATTTTTTTTTTAGACAACTACATTATCTTGATAACACTTAGATTCATACACTTTGTTTTTCTCCAGATACCAAAGTAGCAGGAATTTTAGCTTCGTTTCATAGAAATGCACGTGATTGCTAATCAATCTGCCATCATAACTTGTCTTTAGGACATTGTTGATTATCAGCTCATTTGAATTGGCATATGATCTTTTCAGTCTATTATCTAACTCCTGTATCTTATGCCCAAACACACTGATTCACCACATCATTGTCTTGTAAGCTAATATATGTCTCTCTACCTTTAAACATATTTTTTCTACATTTAGTTGATGCCTTTGTGAATAGTCATAAACTTATGTTAATCCTTGCTTTAGGCTAAAGTTTTATGTACTAAAGTTCATGAAGCTACACTGCTTCACCATGGTTCTATGACATTGCTACTACGTTAAAGAAAAACATGTTTTTATTCCACACATATACCTGAGACTTCATCTACTGTCATGATCAATTTATTCTTTTCTAAACATTTTGTGAATCTTGATATTTAGTTCAAGGAACCTTGATATCACAGCATATGTTGTTATTAATTTGCATTTTGGTGTGGTGACCAAGAATTTACTTTGAACATGCTTCTTTTCATATCTCACTCTGGTGACTTTTTTGTACACTTCCTGATGCCACTTCAAATTTACCTTTATAAGAAGGAAAGTGCAGTTAAGGTAAAGGACATTATCTGAGAGTATGAGCAACAACTAGAAGAAGCTCTCTTCTGGACCATACATTTCATCAGCCATGTCTGCATTCTTCATCTGTCCTCAGGACTAAAAAGCTGACAGGTGCCTTTGACTGCTACAACTTGACCTCTGTTGGTTACTACCTATATGCAAAAGCTTTGGACAGTAAACATTAGTCATGGTGGCAATTATTAATATGTTTGTTCTGATACTAATTGGAATTGTATCTTTAGATGAGTATCTGTTGTCTAGCCCAGGTATCACCAGGAACTGGTCAGTCACACATGATCAAGAAGAGATCCAGCATCATCAACCAGCATCTTGCAGTTATCTTGTATATCCTTGGAGCAGTCAGGAGCCTTCCAAGTGGCTGAGATGGATATAAAATGTGATGACAATTCCTATCCATGGACACTGATGGTGTCTCAACCATAAAATGGTCAAGAAGGTTTTGGAAGGTACCTACCTCTACCATTGTTTCACAATGGTGATGATGTGAAGTAGGCTATCTATCTGGTGTTTAAGGGGACAACAAAAGAAGACCTAGACCAGTTACTAAAATGTTTCTGGCAAGTTGTTTGGAATGAATGGGTACAGAGACAGTCCGTGCAACGTCAAGTGCTCACTTTGCAATATCATTTCAAAACCAGTTGTCACTGAGTTGCATCAGAATCGACCATGTGAAGAATCTAATGATCCATAGGGCCGATTTCAAAGGATACAGGCATTATGAATACGTTACCAGATCCTAAAAATAGAGCAAAGCATATAAGTGCGTGCTAAGAAGATTTTTTCGTTGAAAAGAGTCTTCCAATACGTCTTGTTCAAGATTACGATGGATGTATATTTGATGTTATAAAGCGTTTTTCTACATTCAAATAAACCTTGTTTGTTAGAGAGCTGAAAGAGTTGAAGCCACCCTCTAAAATAAGATCCGTATTTGGTTCATTGAGGTGTCTTCCTGAAGGTCCAAACACGAGGAATACAACCAATCACAAAGTTCTGTTGCAAAAACAATCAAAGTAGGTAATAATATAAAACTATTTGCTGTAGTATCTGATGTACGAGTCATTATATGGTCCATAATTACTGTAAGCCTCACCTTTGTTAATGCTTCAATATAACAGAAATACCTTCCAACTTTTGCTTAAAATATCAAAAGTCTTAATTCATTTATTTCTGTTGAAGAAGCAAGCATACAGCATTAAGTGGAAAGACATTTTTCATATGTAAGTACGAGAAAGGCTAGAAAATGATGCAAAACTGACAATAAAATTTTGCAACACATATCAAGTTATACATTGAAGTTACACATTCAAGGAGTATTGATATTTACTGGTTGTCTGGGAGCCATTACATAAAAACAGATGGAGATGTATTGTTCAGTGCAACACTGTGGCAGTAAGGCAGCATATACTAAAAGTTTGTGGTGAAAGAGAAAATGACCTCACATCAATATTTCAAGCTATACCTTGCTGGCAGCTTTCTCATTCTTTGGCTCCTCTTTTTTTCTTTTTTTTTTCTGCATCTCCTACTACTAAGCTTCCTCATAAGAAGTATTTCTTTTTACAAGTTATGACTTAAACATTGCCTTGATGGCTTTCTTCTCAGTGCTTTAGATTCTATTTTAATGTGCCAAAAACACTACTAAAACTGCTTTCTGGTGGATAAGAGTAATTAA